TTCAAGACAGTAAAATTCATTTTGTATGCTTTGAAGATATAGTGATTAAATGTAAAAAAAATTAATAAAAAAATGAATCAACTCAATGAATCAATGAACTGATCAGGTATGCTTCATTTTACTTTCTTTCTAATTGGCTAATTAGCATTCATTAACTAATAGCCCACTGTCATTCTTACCTGCACCTAGAAAAATTATCCTATTTTAAAATGATCATTCAAATTGCTGATATATAACTAATAATTGGTATTATAAAGTCTTCTTATAAACTATCCTCATCCAATGAACATTTTTTACTATATTTACTAGCAGAATTATGACTTTAGGCTTGTTCTTACAAGTTTAATAGGTAATATTATATTTTTACTGATAGAAGATCCCAGCAACTGACATCAAAGAAAAAAATACTAGACATATGGGGCTGGCAGTGGCATGGTGGTTAAGGGCGCTGGACTCCCACATGGCTGACCACGGTTCAAGTCCTGGACCTGGTGGCTTGCTTTCTCACTTTCCTCTCTCTCACTGTCCCCTTCTGGTCAAATAAAGTAAATAAATAAATAAAGCTGAATAAAATACATTTTAAAAAAAGAAAAAATACTAGACATAATTCAACAAAAATATCTAATACATTGAAGACGCTAAAGTATGGTCATGTACATAAAAGCTGAACATATAATACCCCAGAAATCCCCCAGGCAATGTAAAATTAGTGTTTAGGGCCAGCCCCATAGCACAGTCATTATAGAATTAGGCCAAGGATGCTATGCTTCCTCATGGCTAACCAGGTTTCAAGTCCTAGCACTGGTGGCTTCAAAAACACACCAGTCACACATGTGCAAACCCAGAATTTTGACAGGACAGAGAATTAGAGGAAAAATTATTGCAGCATGACCAGGCCCACTGGAGGGCACTTTCTGTCTGTCTGTCTCTCTCTCACTCATGCATGTACATTCATCCCCTGCATTAAAAAAAAAAAAAAAAAAAAAAACCGTCTTAAGGGAGTTAAAAAAAAAAAAAAAAAAAAAAAAAACTGCTTAAGGGCCAGCCTGGTGGCATGATAGTTAAGGTGACTGGATCCTACATAGCCAATTGCATGGTTTGCATTCCAGCCCTGGTGACTTGGAAAATACACCAGGCACATGTGTGTGTGTGCTCAAAATCTTGAGGAGAATGAAGAAGGGACTGCAGCATGACCATCCTTCCAGGGGGTTATTTCTCACCCCCCCCCCCCCCCCACTTTGGTGAGCACACATGCCCTACAGCTAAAAGTAAATAAATAAAAAGAAAAAAAAAACTGTTTAAATTATAGTTATACTAGAAAAAGTCACAAGCTTTGTGTGACATTTTCTGAAAACCTGTGTATAATTTTTTCTTTTAAAATTATCCATGTTAATTTGAGTTCTCTAAGAAACAGATGGTAAGACAGGAGTAAGTCTGAAAAGGATTTATTGAGGAGACATCTGTGAGTTATAAAGGAGAAGAAGGCTTGGTCTGACACCTGTGAAAGTGAATGAAAAAAAGGATTGGATAGGAAGAATCTCACAGCAGCATAGTTCTAATAAAATTCGAGGCAGGCTAATGGGCAGTCCTGGAGTCAACGCTCTCTACTGGGGAATGGGAAACATTAATAACCCTGCCATACCCATTCACAGGCTGGAAATGCAGGAACACAGTAGTGGATCCCTCGTAGTAAGCAGCTAGAGTTCTCAATTAGCTCTGCTTCCCACAGTAAGAGATCTGAGTGATGTATTTCCATGACGGGTACACTATCTTTGGCAAGTATAGAACTTCTCATTAATGTTTGACGGGAATAAACACCATAATTGCATTCATGCCTCCAAAATTTACCAATCTATATTTTTTCCAAAGTTTATTTCTTCTGAGAGACAAAAACAGCATGTCCAACAGGGTCTTAATGCCACAATCTACCCCCCAACCTCAGCCAGCCATGGATCAAGAACACATGCTTGCCCAGAGTATTCGGGGTGCTGCACAGATACAAATCTGGAACCTTCCTATATGAGTCAGCTTGTCAAAATGTTGTGCTTTATCCCTGCACCACTGTCTGGCCCCCACATTACATTATATTAGTTCATCAGGAAAGTCATGACATATTTTTCTATGCAAAAATGTGTCATGACTTTGCCAACCACCCAATATATTAACAGAAGGCAAGGATTCTATTATATCAATATAATGCTTTGGTTGTTACATGTTCTATATTAGCTTTTGAAGCATATAAACTGTCTTCTCTATCACATATCATGATGATTAGTGTAGAACAAAAGCGAAACTACACAATACAAAATAATTTAACATATTACTTGTAGAATCTTAGTAAAAACCTTAACTTAGGCTAATTATAGGGTGTATATATATATATATAAGCTTTTTGCCATAGAGCCTGAGTGCTCACTGGAGGGAGACAGAGGGAGACAGTGAGAAGGAAAATGAGAAATCACCTCCTAGAGGGATATGCCCACACCACAATCCCTTCTCTCTTCTCCTCCTGGGCTTTTGGGCATGCACCCACATGCACCTGGCCTGAGTTTCAGGCTGCCAGGACCACAACTTGAACTGTAGACAGCCATCTGGAAGTCCAGTGCCTTAACCACTATGCCACCTGCTGGCAAATGTTGACTAAAAGAAACAACTGACATAATGGAATGACTAGTCCTAGTTGGCATACTAGTTTGTTTCTGGAGAAAATGCACTTTTGAAGTTTGTTCTTTTAAGTAAGTCTCTCTACAATTTTCTCAAATACTGCATTTAAAATTCTTATCACAGAGTTGTCAAACCACTGAATTCTGTCTTCTACAGGCTTTGCAAATCCTTTCTTCCAAGTAATTCAAGTGCAGCCTGTGGGACAAAGGCCCAGCCTCTGCAAGTGAGTGACACCAGAGGAAATGCAGCAAAGGATGCCGTAAGGGGAGTCCAGTAGTTCCTGTGTTTCCTTCTTTCTAGATCTGGGACCTGGGACTTGACAGTAAACTGTACTAGACTTTTCCTGACCCAGTTATCAAAAGCCACAGGGTAAGAACTTCTGAGTCATCAAAACTAAGCTGCAGCATTCCATCCTCTGCTTTTCTCATATGTCTTCCAGTATATATGTGAATTTTTTTTTTTTTTTTTTTTGCTATAGGGCGCGTGCACTCGCCAGACAGACAGAGACAGAGAGACAGAAAGTGAGAAATCACCCCCCAGGGGGGATGGCCACGCTGCAATCGCTTCTCCTCCATTCTCCTCTCGGGATCTTGGGCACGCACGCACATGCGCCTGGCGTGAGTTTTAAGCCACCGGGTCCAGGACGCGAACTGCAGTCAACTACATGGGAGTCCAGCAACATAGCCATTACGCTAACTGCTGGTCCCAATATATGTGAATTTTAATGTATCACAACGTAATATAAATTTCAGTTCGGTTTAATTATGCAAATAATCACCATTTTTCAACTAATGATTTTTTTCCATATTATAAAAATATTTCAAATTTTGTTTTTTAAAATTTCCCTCAGGAAGCCTACAGACCTGGAAAAATACATTCATCATTTAAGAATAGTTAATATTTACTGAAGAGTTATGTGATATGCATGCTACAAGTGACTTACATGTTGTAATGGTCAATATATCAATTTGAATAGGCCATTGGGGGTACCAAGATCAAATATTTGTTTATGGAACTGCCTTCACTGTCTGGTGATTAAAACAGCTGGTTTGAGTCCCAGGCCTGGTGGCTTGAGAAACATGCCAGGTCTGTGTGTATGTGTGCCCAAAATCCCGAAAGGAGGGAGAGATGGAGAAGAAGGGATTGTAGAATAATCATTCTCCATGGGGGTGTTTTGTCTCATTATCTCTCTGGCAAGCACATGCACCCTCTAGCAGAAACAAAACACCCTTCTACCCCCACAATTTGTTTCTGGATGTGTCTGTGAGGGCATTTCTGGATGAGAATGATTTTTGACTTAGTCGACTCAGAAAAGTAGATTGCTCTCTCCAGTGTTGTTGGCATCATCCAATTTGCTGAAGGCCTGAACAGAACAGAAGGCAGAGGAAAGAGGAACTTTTTTTTTCTTACTTTACTGCTTAAACAAGGACATTTTATCTTCTCCTGTACTAGGGCTGAATTTACATCACTGGCTCCCCTAGTTCTTAGGCCTTTGAACTGGACTGAATCACATTACCAGCTTTCCTGAGTCTCCAGCTGGCAGACAGCAGAATACTGGACTTCTGAGCCTCTAGATTCATGTGAGCCAGTTCCTCATAATCAACCTCTCCCTCTCTCTCGCTCTCTCTCTCTTGGTATGTGTATACACACACATACACACACACATATACACACACACACACATATACATACACACATACATACATATATATACCTTCTTTATTTTTTTCTCTGAAGAAATGTAATGAAGTCACATGTATTTAAATTTCTCAACTGCCCTATGAGGTGAAATTATCTCCAATTTATACACACAAGGATACTGAAACACAGAGATAGTTAAAAAACTTACACAAGATCATATAGGTAAAAGTGAGTAGTGGAGGCAGGATTTAAACCCAAGTAATATGGCTCCAAGTTAAAGATTTTCTGTCACTACTGTGGCTATCTCAAACTACAATGCATTATTTGTTCTTTCTCTTCAGCATTCCAAAGAGTGTGCAGGAAAAATCATTACATTCCATTTCCAAGAATAACCTTTTGAGCTGATTCATGCTATTTAGGCCTATGCCTACCAACCTTTGCTTATAGGTACTACACACACATTCCACTGTAGGTGACCCCATCACTGTTTCCTGCAGCCCATCCTATGTTCTGAGAATTCCCTGGAATTTGACCTCTAAATGGATACTGTAAGAATGATACTATGGAGAGGGAAAGTTGGAAAGTAAAGCACAGTAGTCAGATACTTCAAATAGTAGTGAAACAGTAGACACATAGCACGTAATCATCTAGTTGATGTAGCCTCTTAAATTTTATTTATTTATTTTATTTTTCACTAAAAAATACTTTATTCGCATGTGCATCTTAGAAGCAATCTTAACTGAAAAGTGACAGAATAAAGGTGTGCAGCTCTAATCATAATTTATATACCCCAGTGCATTTAAATTTAAGCTAATCTGTGCCAATATGGATATATATTTTCCTTTTCATAATTTATAATGGCATATTTTCTTTCAAAGCCATCATGTATATATTTCAGGCACATTACAGAAATTATATGACTTAAAGAATATAGAGAAAAAAATCATAAATAAGTTAGCGCAGATGTACATATTCAGAAAATGATTCTGATATGACTTAAAAATCAATACAGCGTCCTTTTCGTTCCCAATCTCCATATCGGGTAGGTTCTGGGCCCCTGGGTCCACCTTTTTCTTTGGTAACTGGATTAACATCATCTGGAAATTCTAAAGACAGACAGAAGATATAAACAAATCAGTCAATAGAGATAGAAAAAACATTATTGTCAATTTTGAAGACAGAGTTGAATAGTTTAGGTATTACTGACCACATTATTATGAAACCTTCCCCCCGCCCCCCCAATTTTACCAGACTGAGAGAAAGAAAGTGAGCAAGCAGCCCCCCCCGTGGGGGATGGTCATGCTGCAATCCCTTCTCCTCAGTCCTTCCATTCTCTTTTCAGGATTTTGGGCATACATGCACATGAGCCTAGTATGTTTCTGAAGCCACAAAGTCCAGGACTCGAACCTGTATTGGGGCACATGGGATCCAGTCACCTTAACCACCAGCCAGCCTATGTAGTCTTCAAGTTAACTCTAAATTTGTTCCTTTTCCTGAGTTTGAAGAATCACTGAGGATACAATTTTCTTATTCAATCAGCTTTACTACCAACCTTAGTGACTCAGTATTCTGGGAGTACCCTCAGCCCCAGAACACATAGCTTTGAATGTGCAGCTGAACTCAAATGGAAGGAAGGGGACGCAAAGAACACAGAGCGCAAATTCACAGGACTTGGAAGGTTCTGAAACATGATTAGTGTGAAGGAGTCACTGTGACTCAATGTCTTAGTTTTGTTACTAGTAAAACAGGAGAATGAACGACCATATGCGCCATACCGTGCTGAATCATCATTGCATCCCTGGAATAAATCCTACTTGATCGTGGTGTATAATCTTTTTGATGTACTGCTGATTTTGGTTTGCTAACATTTTGCTGAGAATTTTTACATTTGTGTTCATCAGGGACACTGGTCTATAGTTTTTTGCTGTTGCTGTATTCTTGCTTCGTTTTGATAACAAGTAATGATAATCTCATAAGATAAGTTTGTGAGGATTCTCTTTGCTTGGATCTTTTGCAGAAGATTTGGAGTTAGTTCTTTCAAAGTCTCATAGAATTCAGCAGTGAAGTCATCCAGCCCTGAGCAGTTCTTTGTTGGGAGACTTTAATAAACTGATTTAGTCTCATTACTTATCATTGACCTGTTCAGGCATTCTGTCCTTCCTGATTTACTTTTGATAGATTTTTATGTCCAGGAATTTATCCCTCTCCTCTAGGTTTTCAAGTTTGTTGGCATACAGCTTGCTGATATACAACAAAATTTTGTATTTCTGTGGTATCAGTTTTAATGTCTCCTTTTGCATTCTGATCTTATTTATTTGGCTCTTCTTTCTTTTCCTTATGTTAGCCCTGCTAGTAATTTGTCAATTTTGTTTATCCTTTCAAAAACCAACATTTTTTAATTGATCTTTTGTATTTATTTTTTATTACATTTATTTCTTCTTTTTTTTTTTTTGCTTCTTTTGGGACTAGTTTGTTTTTGCTTTTCTAGGTGTTTATTAGATTTATTTAATTTTATTTATTATTATTACTTAATTTGCTATAGGGCATGTGTGTTCACCAGAGAGAGAAAGGGGAAGTGAGAAAGCAAACTGCCTGGACAGGGATTCAAACCATGGTCAGCTATGGGTATCCAGTGCTCCAACCACTATGCCACCTGATGGTCTCAACTTTTCTAGTTTCTTAAAACATGTCATTATGTCATTTATTTAGCATCTTTGTATTGTTCTTTTTTTTTTTTTTCTTGAGAGGTTTTTGCTATAGGGCACGTGTGCTTGCCAGAAAGACAGAGAGAGACAGAGAGATAGAAAGTGAGAACTCACCCCCCAGGGGGGATGGCCACGATGCAATCCCTTCTCCTCCATTCTTCTCTCAGGATCTTGGGCAAGCATGCACATGTGCCTGGCATGAGTTTAAGGCACCGGGTCTGGGACTCGAAACGCGGTCGACTACATGGGAGTTCAGCGACACAGCCATTACCCTAACTGCTGGTCCACCATCTTTCTATTGTTCTGACAGGAGCGCATTGCTATAACTTTCTATCTTAGTACTACCTTAACTATACTGTATAGGTTTTGTAATGCTATGTCTCCATTTGATCTCGAGAAATTTAAAAATTCCCGTCTTAATTTTATTAACCCAGTAGTCATTCAGGAACATGTATAATTTCCATGTATTTGAATTTTTTCCATGTTTTCTCTTATTTATTTCTAGTTTTATTACATTTTGGTCAGAAAGGATACTTGAAAAGTTTTTAAACTTGTCTTGTGGCCTGATATATCCTGGAGAATACCTCATGTACTAATGAGAATAATGTGTATTCTGGAACTGTTGGATAAAATGTTCTGTAAATGTCTGTCAGGTCCATTTGGCCTACGGTGCAGTTTAATGCTGATGTTTCATTGTTGATTTTCCATCTAGATAATCTGTCCAATGCTGAGAGTGTGGTTTAAAATCTCCAACTCTTGGACCAGCCTATGACATAGTATTTAAAGCATCTTATAGGGTTGATGAGTATATGGTTTGAGTCCTGGACCAAGCAGCTTGAGAAATGTGCTGGGAACATGCCCAAAATTGCAAAAGGAAGGAAAACTGGAGAAGGAGTTGTGGTACTCACTTTCCCTCTCTCTATGCAAAAGCACCCTCTAGCAAATTAAAAAAAAAAAAATAGGCAAAAAAACAAACAAAAAAAACTATTACTGTATTGGAGTCAATCTTTTCCCTTTATGTCTAGTCATAGTTTATATACCTGCATGCTCTGATGTTGGGTGTATGTTTACAATTGTTATATCTTCTTGCAGAATTGATCCCTTTACTGCTATACAATGACCTTCTTTATACCTTCTCATAGATTTTGATTTGAAGTCTATTTATCTGATGTCAGTATAATTACTGCTCACTTTTGGTTTCACTTGCATGGATTATCTTTCTTGCTTTCTGCCTCTATGCCTCTGTCTGTCTCTCTGGCAAGTGCACATGCCCTAATAGCAAAAATCTCTTGGAAACAAAAAGAAAGAAAGAAATGTATGGTGCTGGTGTAGGCCCAAGTGCCAGGGTCACAGCCATACCACTAGGTCTGCCTGAGGTGGCAGCACTTCAGCAGCTTGTGTGGACATGATAGGATTGGCATAGACTTAACGATGTAGAGATGCAAAGCCCATTGATCCTCCAAGTAGGTTTCAGTCTACTGGTGACTTTCATTTTCGAAATGGAGAACCGCTGTAGCAGCTTGAGGCTCAAGGGGTGGCGGTGATCCAGTGCACTTTACTTCCTTGAAGTCAAGCGTTCTAAAGAATCCTTGTAAGAGGCTCAAGGCTTATAGAGACTGCAATGCTCTTGCACAGATAGGACTGTTCTCATTCACAGAGGTAAGGGGGACCCACTGGAAATTTCTTGCTCACCCTTCCCCAGAAAGGGGGAGTCTTTCCTTGTTGCAACCTGATCCCCCTCCAGGTGCTTAACTTCCTCTTCTATGCTATCATTCAGAGTCTTTGTGCTTCAGAAGACTTCAGCTGTTTCTCTAATAAATTCCAGGGCTCTCCTTCAAACATTTCACTCAAAGAGCATCTATTTATATGCTGTTCTTTTCTTTCTTTGTGGAGAACTGGAGTTCCTGGGTCCTTTTAGTCACAATCTTATGGTATCCCCTTATTCTTTTATTCTTGTTCTACCTTGAATACTTTCTCCCATCTGCATCATCATTCTGTTTTCAAAAAAACTATGCTTTTTAATTGTAAGTTGGTTTTTCCCTACTCTATGACTTCCTCTGAAAGCCTCTCTAATGGAGGCTCTTCTTTCGCTCATGTTTCTGGGGTCACTGAGTGTCTCAGTCAGTTTAGGATGCCGTAACAAAATACAGTAGACTGAGTAGGCTTAAATGGAAATCTATTTGCTTATACTTCTGGGGGCTGGAAATATGAAATCAGGACCCTAGCATGGTGGGGTTATGGTCAGGGTTCTCTTCTTGGCTTACAAATGTTTCTTTCTCACTGTGTCCTCACATAGCAGAGAGAGACAGCAAGTTCTCTGGTGTCTCTCCTTAGAAGGGAATTATTCCCATCATAATGAGTCCCACACTCATGACCTCATGTAAACCTAATTCTCTCCCAAAGGACATATTACAGATAACATTACATTGGAGTTAAGGGCTTCAACATATAATTGAGAGGGGATAGATGGAATCCAGTCCTCATCACCAGGGATGAAACAACAGGTGGATGATGTCTGTGTTTCTTCACTGCTACTTCCAGCTTCTCATTATAACACCAAACCTCTATAGCCTTTCCTTTTGTTGAATTCCATACCATGCACTTGTCCAGTGCTTTTTTCTACCTTTATAATCGACTCAAAGACTCTTCTATCTTTGTGGATGGGAACACCATCTGGTTTTTAGTTTCATTTCTCTATACCTATCATCCCCAAAATCAATATCCACACTAATGAATCATCACACATTGAGGCCACAGAGGCTCCCAATGATCTTTCTTAGTGATCTTCAGCTCCACTCTCATCACTTGGACCTCTTTTAGTTGTTCCTTCTCTAAATCCTACACTCTTGAGCTCTTTCTTTTCTGACCATGACTTCCTATCTTTCCATCTCTCCTCTTCCTCTTATTTGTCTTGTCCTCATTATAAACCTTTTTATTCTCCAGTACTACAACCACCCTGGTTCATCTCTCAATGTTCCACTGTAGAACAGTAGTTTTCTAACTCCTATTTCTGTGTTCTAACTTCCACAGTTCCAGCCTAACCTGCACAGAGACTGAATTAATGTTCCTAAAACAGGATTCCTTCTCCACATTATGCTAGGTGAAAGAAAGCAGACACAAAAGACTACTTACTATATGAAAATCCTTGAAAAAGCAAAATATAGATAGAGAACAGATCAATGGTTGTAAAGAGAAAATAAGAATGGGATTGACTAACAAAAGGCACATGGTAACTATTAAATGGATGGAACTGTTCTCTATTTCGTATTTGTCTATATGACACTGGTTTGTTTGTTATTTTTAAGGTTTTTTTTTGTTGTTGTTGTTATAGGGTACGTGTGCTCACCAAAAAGACAGAGAGAGACAGAGACAAAAAGCGAGAAATCATCCCCCAGGGGGGATGGCCACACTGAAATCCCTTCTCCTCCATTTTCTCTCGGGATCCTGGGCACGCACGCAAACACACTCGGCGTGAGTTTAAACCACTGGGTCCAGGACTCGAACCACAGTAGGCTACATGGGAATTCAGCGACATAGCCATCACACCAACTGCTGGTCCCAGTCTATATGACATTGTTAAAACTCACTGAACTGTACACTTAAAATGGCTGAATTTTACTATATGCAAATTATACTTCAATAAATTGATTAAAATAATCTCCACAGTGCACAAACCCTTTATTCTGTAACTTGACAGTTCGAGGGCTCCCAGATTTGAGCTAAAGATATCTTTTTATCCTTATATTCTATTAACCCACTGCATATACATACTTTATGCTGAAGTCAAGAGCCCCATTAGCTGTGTTTTTGCATGTGTCATGTTCCACAACCTCTTTGTCTTTACTCATCCCTTTCTTTTGAAATATCTTTCCATCACACCTTATTTATTTATCAAGATTTTATTTTTCCATCAAAATCTAGCTTAAGGGGCCGGCAAGTGGCGTTGTTAGGGGCACTGGACTCCCAAATAGCTGACGGTGGTTCTAGTCCCAGACCTGATGGCTTGCTTTCTCACTTTGTCGCCTTCTCCCTCTCTCTGTCCCTCTCTGGTCAAATTAAAATAAATAAATAAAGTTAAATAAAAATAATTCTTAAAAAACAAAAACAGCTTAAATATTATCTCTTTTGTCTCCTTTCCCTGACCTTTTTTCTATATATATCTTTCATGCTAGTTAACACATGATGCCCTATTCAAATTTATGTATCTCATCCTTCTTTTTTTTTTTTTTTTTGAGAGGTTTTTGCTATAGGGCGTGTGCACTCGCCAGCCAGACAGAGAGAAACAGAGAGATAGAAAGCGAGAAATCACCCCCTGGGGGGATGGCCACGCCGCAATCCCTTCTCCTCCATTCTCCTCTCGGGATCTTGGGCACGCAGGCACATGCGCCTGGCGTGAGTTTAAGCCACTGGGTCCGGGACGCAAACCACGGTCAACTACGTAGGAGTCCAGCAACATAGCCATTATGCTAACTGCTGGTCCCTCATCCTTCTTTTTAAAATTTATCTTGTATCAAACAGGGTGCTGAGCTACGAACATTTTCCTTTATCTGAATAATGAAATACACTCTCTGGAAAGGAACAACCCATATATTTTTCTTAGAATGAAGTACATAGCAGTGAGGTAGAACTAGAATAGTAAATAAGGAAGCAGGGAGGCTTGTGAGGAGGCAAGCAGGGTTAAAGACAGTCTGAATTTGGGCTTTTTCATAGTATGAGTAAGAGGAAATGAATTTGAGCAATAATTAACAAAGTAGAATCAGCAGGACTTGGTTAGTGATAGGATTCAGGAGACAGGGAGAGGCAGAAGTGATGGATTATCCCCAGATTTCAGGCATGGGTGAATTGGGATATGGGGTGGATTGAGAACCCAGAGGATAGAGGAAAATATGGGGTTGGGCTGCTGTTATCAGTCAAAATGACTGGAAACAATGGGTGTTGGATGAGTTTAGCTTAAGAAATACTAGTTTAAAATATATGGCATAAGCAAAGGAAGTGGTTCAGAAGACAACTGGGAATGGGAAGGTAAAGCTCAGGAGAGATGTCTGACTAGAGGTGTAAATATGTGATCATGTGAATACATGTGACATTTACTTTTATTTTTTTAATTTGTCAGAAGGCACATATACTCATCAGAGAGAGAGGAAGAGAGAGAAAGCATCCCCCTCAGGGGGCATGGTCATGCTGCAATCCCTTCTCCATTTCTCCATCCTATCAGGATTTTTTTTAAGCTGCTAGGGCCAAGACTTGAACTGTACAGTCAGCCATGTGGGCTCTAGCGCCCTTAACCACCAGGCTGCAGGGTCAGCCCCAAATGTGTAATATTTAAAATCATCTGAGGAGGCAGGCCCTAGAAACAGTTAACTTCTGCCCAGTGGACTGAGAAATTAGATAGAAAACAATGGAGAAAAGTGACTAGAGATAAGAGAATGAAGGAGAATATCCTAGTGTCTATACTGTGTTTAATCCTGAGGTTCTAGACTTTTCTAGGGCCTGGAAGTATCACTCGTTTGGGTGCTTCACCTTCATCCTAAACCCTAAAACAATCTATTCTACCTCTTGCTTAGGTTTGTTCAAATCCATTTCTGTTATTTATAGCAAAGAAGATATTAACTTACATATTCTGTCAAGTGCATAATAGTTATTATAAGTAAAACAATCACAAAATCAAATACTTTCTGGACCTTAGAAACCTCATTTAAAAAAAAAAAAAAAACACACACACAAAAAAAACTGGGCAAACCCCATGGCCTAGCAATTGAGGAAGCTGGATTCTACATGACTGACTATATGGTTGGAATTCTTGTCCCAATAGCTTGAAAAATACCCTTGGCATGTGTGGATGTGTGCCCAAAATTCTGACATGGTGGAAAAACAGAGGAGAAAGAATTGCAGCATGATCACACACCATGCACCCCAGGGAGTGCTTTCTCCCTCTACATCACTCTCTGTCTCTCTGTTTCTAGCAAGCACACATGCCCTCTGGCAATTTAAAAACAAAACAAATTCACATATATAGATAATCAATATGGTGATTTTACTCATTGTTTAAATATGCTTTGTTATTAGTAATAAGGAATTGTAAGCAATAAATATTTCTGTTATTTATTTTCTCAGTAACTAAAACACTTCAATACTTCAAAAATGAAGAACAAAGTTTTATTATACAGTGAACCTTTATTCATACAACATATGTTCAAAGACACCCCCCCCAGTGAGTGAGAAAAATTGGATAGTACTGGACCTTATATATAACATTTTCCCCCTATATGTTACTATGATAAAGCTTAATTTATAAATTGGCCAGAGTAAGAGATTTAACAAGGAACACTAATAAAATAGAATAACTGTAAGATTATATTATAATAAAAGTTATGTGAATACGGTCTCTGTCTCTCTCTCAAAATATAAAATTTATTTATTTTTTCCATGAGAGAGAGAAAGAGTGAGACAAGCAGGCCCACGGGGGTTTTCATGTTGCAGTTCACCTCCGGCTTCAGCCAGCCTGGATCACAGGCACACGTCCACATGACTCGTGTGTATAGGAAGCTCTCGGGATGCAAACCACGTGGGTCAACATTACAAAGTGTTGCACTACCACAGTGCCACTGTCTGGCTTCTCTCTCAAAACATCTTATTGTATTATATTTTGACTGTGGTTCACTATAATTAACTGAAAGCACAAAAAGTGAAAATAAAAAGTAAACTGAGGGGACTACTGTACTCACTTTCTAGTGGTTCTTTCTCTAAATTGGAATCTTCCGGTGCATCAAAACGACCTTCTGGTAACTTTGGTTTCTTGAGGGATTGTTTGACAGGTTCAGGGTTTCTTTCTTGAGAAGAACTTGTTTTCCTCAAAGAGTGATACAGGGGGCGTGATCCTAAACCAATAAGAGATAAAAGAAAAATAGAAGTTGTTTATTCTACTTTAAAAATAATTATTTTCCTTATCATTTTTAATATATTCATATGCCTTTAAACTTGGAATCATACTGTAAAATTGAATAGGTCCATACTATAGTCCAGAAATTCTATGCCTTGCACTAGAGCACTAGTAATTTACACAGGAATGTTTCCAGAACTACCCAAATGTCCATTGTGAAGGAAAATGGAAAATGTATCACATAGTCAACAGTTAAATAATTACAACTTCATGTAGCAATAGGGCTCAATCTTAAAACATGTTAGCTGGAAAAAAAGACAAAATATAAAGGATACCAAACCACATTTATAAACATCTAAAACATGCAAAATTAAACAATTACATCACCAAGCAGTCCACAAGGAAGCTCCTTGAAAATGCCGTTTGTTTCTTTAAATTGAGAATGGGTTCATAGATATTGGTTCTGCTTCATAATTTACATATGTGCTATACCCTTTTTTTGGTATCAAATATTTCATAATTGCTTCATTAAAAATGAGAGGCTGAATGAACTCAACAAGATTTTAAACAGCTATTGCCTTAGGATTTAGATAAGGTGGAACTTTTATTTCTGTAGTATTCATTTCCGGATCATTTAAAAATTTCTTAGATAACAAGCAATATGCTTATGTTTGGAGAAAATGATTATAGAACTCTGAGGAACTTACTATGAGGGCAGTTATGTTTTCAAGTCACACATATTTTCCTAGGATAGCATAGACTAAAATTATATTTAACACATCTGTGGGTTGCTAACTAATATATTAAGACTCTTAACAGAAAAAGGTCTAATATTGTTTTCTACTGAAAGCACGCATGCTTTTTTTGTATGCACAATTCCTAGTTTCACTGAATATTTATTAGACTTATTTGTATTTGGCCCACTTCTGCACTTTTCGAAGATTTATTTTTTTGTTTTACTGTGAACTGCTGCAAATTCAAGTCAATAAATGACTTTCATTCCTCAAAGGCCTTCTTCCTTCTCTTCCAGTTTTCTCACAGGCATCAAAGGGCCTGCAGCTTCTACATAAACAGCCCAAAAGGTTTGCGACCCCAAGCAAGGGCAGAGGCCGGGAGGAAGCGGACGTCCGCGTGGGACGCGCCGGGGCGACCTTCCGGCCCCAGGCCCAGCCCTGAGAGCCCCGCCACGGCGCCAAAGGCCAAGCTGAAGAAAGGAACTCGGCAGAAGCTCAACGCCCTCGGAGGCCCGGGCCACACGCGACTTCCCCCGCTGGAGGCGCTTCTCGTGGCGCCCGGGCCTTCAGGACCCCGCTGCGACCTCAGTCCCGGGCAGGTGCCTTACTTGCCGCTCTTCTAGCCGAGGCCGGGAGGCGGCCAAACAGCCAAGAGACCCCAGATGCAGTCATGGCGCCGACTGCCGCAGCGTCCGCGCAGGCGCAGCCGACTTGGCGGGTAAGCAGTGGTGATGTCCCAGGCCGTCCTTCGAGAAAGATGGGGCGGAGCCTGCAAGGTGGGGCGTGGCGTCCGCGGGTGGGCGAGGCCTGGGGCGGGGTCTCCCTGAAGCCTGCACTAAGATTCCCACCTCCACATTCCAGGCTAGCAAAAGAGGAGCAGGGAGTGTCTGGACTGTCTTGCAAATAATGACTAAACCACCCTGAACCCAAGTGGATTAAAATCCCAAATCACAAGCGGAGACTCATCGTGAGATGGATACTGAACTTGAGCTGTGAAATATTGCTTTCATTGACAAAAAAATGAAGATTTTCTAAGACTTCTCCCTCCAGGTTCATTTCTAGTGGGCAGGAATAACTCTGTCTCCGCTCCTCTCTCTGTTTTTCTCAGTCTCCCTAGGTCTTTTATTATTTTTTTAATTAAAAAAAATTTTAAGGTAAAGTATTCTCTGGACTCTCAAGCCCCTCCTTTACTGTGCTAATTTGTGCCTTTCCTCATCCCATTTAGGAAAAGCACAAAACCAGGCCCATTCTGAGATGGATACTGAACTTGAACTGTGAAATACTGCTTTCATTGACTAAAAATGAAGATTTTCTGCTTTTTAAAATTAAAAATCTAAAGTTTTTTTATTATCTTTTGTTTTCTTTCTTTTTTATTTTATTTTGTCATCTTCTTTCCTCTTCTCCGATTCGTTTTCTTTTCTCTTTATCTTTATTCCTTGGCTGCTCAGCCTATATGCACTAAGTGTCTAGACAGGTTCAAGTGAACAGGATCCAAACATCTGAATACGATTAGGGTCAGAATATTCCTCAATTTCCACTGAATCAGATGCACAAAGAGTGAAAAATGGAACAGAAGAGAGATTGCAGATCACCTCCTCCGGCACGCCTCTGAACGCTCAGATTGAACTTCAAGAATTAGGAAGCGGATGACTAGAAATCACCGCAGAGTCACAAGAAATATCGGAAAGCAAGAAAATACCTCTCCTCCAAGGGAAAAGAATAACTCTTCTTCATCCTCAGACAGTACAATGAAGTTTATGGAAATGTCAGATAAAGAATTTAGAATATTCATAGTGAAAAGCTAGCAGAGATAGAAGAGAAGAGAGACAATGAGCTGCAGAAGATGCAGGAGAAAGGAGCTGATGAGTTCCAGGAGGTGAAGAAATTCTTGCAAGATCTAAAAGAGGAAATACACACTATAAAAGAGAATCAAGTGGACTTCTTAGAGATGAAAGCTATAATACAGGAAGTCAAAACCTCCCTTGAAAGTATTAAAAGCAGACTAGATCATACAGAAAACCAAATCTCAGATGTAGAAGATAGAATCACTGACCTAGAAAAATCCAGGACGAAGACTGAGAAGATTGCCCCCAAAATAATAATAATATGTCCAAACATCTGGATAATTAATATCCCAGAAGAAGAAACTCATAAGGGCATTGATAATCTATTCCATGAAATCCTGCAAGAAAACTTTCCAAACCTAGAGAGATACTTGTATTTTCCAGTCCCAAGAAATAAAAAGAACCCCAAATAGAACAACCCAAGAAGATCTTCTGTATGACACATTATAGCCAGATTGACCAAAACCACAGACAGAGACAAGATACTAAGATTGGCAAGAGAGAAACATCAATTTACCTACAAAGGATATCCCATCAGGGTGACAGCAGGCCTCTCACTGGAAACAATGAGAGCGAGGAAAGAATGGGAAAATCTGTTCAAAGTGTTAAGGGAAAAGTAATTTCAACCAAGAATACTGTATCCAGCAAGATTATCCTTTATATGGGAAGAAAAGACAAGAACATTCTCAGATAACAAAACCTGAAAGAATTTACCAACATCAGACCAGATCTCCAAGAAGTTCTCAAGAGAGTGCTATACCAGGAAAATTAAATACAGACACACAGTCAAAAACTAAGAAAATGGTCAACTTAATCGTAGGGACAAGTCTGGAGTTGACTATTATATCCCAGAATTTAATCAGGAAGATCAGACCACAACAGAAGATAAAGTACATGAGACTGACCTGGTGAAATAGCATTTTATGACTTTTGACTAAAACACTGCTGATTTTCTTCTAGGCTTTGTTTTCCCGTTTTAAGGAATTTTGTTCTATCTTGAGCTGCTGATAGATTCATGTACTTACTATTTAAACAGAATCCTAACTTGTTTCCTGGTTTTAAGTTTTAAGCAAGTTATGCTAAATTTGTTAGCATTTCTTTGATTTTTTAGTTAAAACTGCTCTTCTTGAAATTAAAAAATATACTAAAAATATCTATTTAATGACTAGTAAGCTATATAGCATCAGCTAGGTGCTACTTTATAGTATATTCATTCTACTCAGTTTCATGTCTAAAGTCAGACATGTATTCACAGATCTGTATATATCAGCTGAACTTGCTATTGAAAGGAGTTATATTATTTAAGAAACGTTGTGATTTAATAAAACGTGGAGGAAAACAGGTATGGGAAACAACTGTAGACATCAGAGTTAGTGTGGGAGGAGGGTGGGAAATGGCAGAGGGTGAGAAATAGGGGAAAATATATATATCGTGTGTGTGTATGTGTGTGTGTGTGTATATATATATATATATGAAACTAGAAATGGAACATTATTGATGATAACATGTATGATTAAGCCACTATGCAGTATATTCTAGATGGGACATCATATTTTGTATGCTGTGACAATGCTCAGTGAATGAATGTAAATTAATTAAAATACATACATACATAAATAAATAAATCCCAAAATCATGGGGTCCAGCAGGCAGCATGGTGGTTAAGGCACTGGATACTCACACATGGCCGACTATGGTTCAAGTTCTAGACCTAGTGGCTTGGTGCTTTCTCACTTTCCCTCTCTCTTTCTGTGTATCTCTCTGGTCAAAGTAAAATAAATGAATGAATAAATAAATAAATAATTAAATGAAAAATTCCATAACCCAAATCATGGGTGAAGTGAGATGAGGCAATAATTTGATTTATCCTTTTCATTGTGCAGCAAAATTTCTCTTGGGGGGGGGAGTCCTCCCCCCTTTTTTTAAGAGAGCTTTTTGCTATAGGCACTTGCGCTCGTTGGAGAGACAGAGAGACAGCGAGAAATCACCTCCGCAGGGGGGATGGCCCACTGCAATCCCTTCACCTTCATTCTCCTCTCAGGATTTTGGGTGTACACGTGCCCGGTGTGAGTTTTAAGTCTTTAGGTCTGGGACTCCAACCGCAGTCAACTGTGTGGGAGTCCAGAGACCTAGCCCTTACGCCATTTGCTGGTCCCTGGCAGGTCCCTTTTACGCCGAACACATTTTTCTCTCTCTCTGGTAACATGATTCTCTTACTGCTTTCCCTTTTATTCATAAGTGCATGCACATGAAGGAGAAAGAAGCACTCTCCACAGGGGCTTATCACTCAAGATCCCCTTCCCTCCCCTAATGCTCTATCTCACAGCATCTTGGGTGTTTGTAAATGGCAGGGTTGAAACATCACAACTGAATCTGTGGATGACTGTGTGACTTCCAGCAGTGAAGTTAGTAAGTTACTAACTGTGCCATGGAGGCTGGGCCTAAATCTCTTCCTGATTAGTGAGCTCCTAATTCATTAGTTCTGACCCACTGGCCAGATGACCTGAAAGGTGACATTCCTGAGTGAGGAGCAGAGCAAGACTAGGTCCAGGCTGAAGGCAAGGAGTCTGCCAATTGACCCTTAAATCCCCACCATTCCTATGGTGTTCAGAGCATACACAGCAGTTCAGGATACTATATGCAACCTGTGAAGGAAGTTTTACAAAATTACAGTGGAAGGCAGTAGAATTTTGTCTTTTTCTTTTCTTTTTTTTTTTTTTTTAGAAAAAGGATGTCCTGGTTAGGTATTGGGTCTTGGTAGTATCTTACCATGTGACATCATGTGGCTATGCAACCTGAGTTTCTCATCAAGAACTGAGGTAGTTACCTGGTCCTTGTAGATAAAGAGTCCTTTTTACAAAGAAGTGGTAAAGAACACAGTACGTACAGAACAGTGGTATGTACAGATACCATACTGGAGCAATTTTCAATAGCAGGTAGCTCACACTTCTGAGGTCATGCTTTTGACTCTTAGCTTGTATCTGTAGCTTAATAATTAGTTCTTTGAGGTCACTTGACTGAGGAAAAAAAACAAAGCTAGATTAAGGATGGCTTTATTCAATAAACTGACCCAGCTGGCATTGGTATTCAGAGTCCTATTTAATAAAGGCCCTCGAGGAACACCTGAGGGAAAAGAAGAAACTTCCCAGAGGGCAGAATTTAGTTTATCTTGCCTACTTAGGAGATATGGCTTGAGATAGATGAATATCTATTTATTTTTATAGGCAGTGAGTCAGGGCTGAGAATGTAGAGGTTTTGGAACAGTTGTTTGGAATTGTAACACTCAAAATGGCCCCAAATCATGAGAATATTTGGGCCCCATTGGAAACCAAAGGAAAAAAAAAAAAAAGCTCGTATTGTAGAAGGGCTCTTAATCAGAACAAGATTATTGTATTAGTTATCTATTAGTGCCTAACGAGTTATTCTAAAATTTAATGGCTTAAAACAATTAATAGTTACTCTCACATTTCTGTGGGTCATGAATTTGGAGTGCCTTTGGCTCCAGGTCTTCAGTAAGGCTGCAGCCAAGCAACTGGGTGGGGTTCTAGTCTCAAATGAAGGCATGCCTCAGGGAGGATCTGCTTCTGAGCTTGCTTACATCAGCAGGATTTAGTTCTAGACGTCTGGACTGGAGACCTCTTAGTTCAATGCTTCTACAGAGATCATCTCACAACATGGCCTCTGGCTTTTCACAGAATGACTAAACCAAAGAGCAAAAAAGACCACTCAAGATGGAAGCCACAGTCTTTTTTTGTAATCTAACCTTGGTAGTGATGTTTGCTGCATGCTATCAAGTCTGGCGCACTCAAAGAGAGAAGGATTACACAGGGCTGCCTACCATGATGACCCTCTCTGTGGACATCGGTCAGCCTCCCTCTCCTCCCCAGCTTTTTGCTCGCTC